CGAAGGCGTGGGATTATAGGCTTAGCCACCGAGCCCGGTTTAAAAAGTATTTAAACCGGGCGTGGTGGCTCATGTTTGTAATCCCAGCACTTTGGTAGCCAGAGGCAAGAGGATTGCCTGAGCTCAGATTTTCGACCAGCCTGGGCAACTTGGTGAGCCCTCATCTCTACAATAAACCAAAAAATTAGCTGGGCATGGTGGCATGCACCTGTACTGCCAGCTTCTTGGAAGGCTGAGGCAGAAAGATGGCCTGAATTCAGCAGGTTGAGGCTGCTGTGGCCGTGAATGTGCCACTGCACTCCAGCCAGGGCAACAGTGAGACTCCAACTCAAAAATAAATAAATAAATAAATAAAGTTTTATGTATGTTTGGAATTTGCCACATGGGCAGGAGGGAGCCTCAGAAGGCGTTACAGCAAGAGAGTAGTATGATCAGACAAATTGTGCTGTGATATCAAGGGGAGGTCTCAAAGCTGGAGCAGTCACAGGGTGTACGTTCAGCTGAGCCTTGAAGGGTGAGCAGGTACATAGAAGGCCATACTGACCCTCCCCTCCTTTCCCAGGTGGTTCCACGAGTGTTTGGACGTGTGGTGGGTAAGAGCCGGGAGGCAGTGGCCCAGGCCATGGTGCTCGAGATGTTCCGAGAAGAGGATTACTACAATGACGATGTTCTGGACCAGATGGGCACCAGTATCCTGGGCGTGGAGGGCCCCCGGCGCCACCCAGATGAGCCTCCGGACGATGAAGTCTTTGAGCTCTTCCCCATGTTCATGGGGGGGCTTCTCTCTGCTCACAACCGGGCCATACTGGCCCAGCTCGGTTGCCCCATCAAGAACCTGGATGCCCTGGAGAATGCCCAGGCCATTAAGAAAAAGCTGGGCAAACTGGGCCGGCAGGTGCTGCCCCCCTCGGAGCTCCTTGATCACCTCTTCTTTCACTATGAGTTTCAGAACCAGCGCTTCTCTGCTGAGGTGCTCAGCTCCCTACGCCAGCTCAACCTGGCAGGGGTGCGCATGACACCCCTCAAGTGCACAGTGGTGGCAGCTGTGCTTGGCAGTGGAAGGCATGCCCTGAATGAGGTGAACTTGGCCTCCTGCCAGCTGGACCCTGCCGGGCTGCGCACACTCATGCCTGTCTTCCTGCGAGCCCGGAAGCTAGGGTGAGGACCCATCCTCATGCACAGGCATGAAGAGGGGAGAGGGTTGGAGGTGAGGAGGGGAGAAAGAAGGTGCTAGGGAAACCAGAGGTACAGAAGAGCGACCAGGGAGTGGGATGAAGAAGTTCTGTGTGGGTAGAGGTGACAGGAGCAACAGAAGGGAGGAGGCGGGTGTGATGGCCCATACCCATAGTCTCAGCTATTCTGGAGGTGGGCTTGGAGGATTATTTGAGCCCTGGAGTTTGAGGCTGCAGTGTACTATGTTCACGCCTGTGAACAGCCATTGCACTCCAGCCTGGGCAGCATAGCGAGACCTTGTCTATAAAACTAATGAAGACTGGGCGTAGAGGCTTATGCCTATAATCCCAGCACTTGGAGAGGTTGAGGTGAGAGGATTACCTGAGCCCAACCTGGGCAACTTGGCAAGACCTCATCTCTACAATACATTTTTTTTTTTTTGAGTTGGAGTCTCACTCTGTCGCCCAGACAGGAGTGCAGTGGCTGCTCCTGGCCACCGCAGCCTTGACCTGCTGGGCTTCAGCGATCCTTCCG